GTTATAAGCCAGTTTTTAATATTAAATATACAGAATTTTTCTTACTTATATTATGTATATATAATTTAATGGCATGCCAGAGGTGGCATCTTGGCATGAATTTAAATAGTTGGCATGCCATATGGCACATTAAATTTTTTGCTATGTCAGGTATTCTAGTCCCGAGGGGGGTGCGACTGTAATTCGATAAATCTACAATTTATCTGTTCTTTTTTATTTATTATTATTATTATTATTGTTAGGTCAAATCGCAAAAAGCAATGCTTCTAGTTCTATTTCGCAAGACTATTTACAAAAATCAGAATCATCTGATGAAATATTGGAAGTAACTTCAAAGTATACTTTTTTTTTTTTTTTTTTTGTTGAATTAATAATAGTTTCGTATTTTACAGTGATGATTTTTTGATTGAGCTGAATGAAGTTGATGGTTTAGTTGAACAGAATGAAGAAGCTGTTGGTTTTTCGGTTGAGCAAAATGAGAGGTTGATATTTTCTTGTAAGAAATCAAAAATGATTACCAAAATGACGAATCCTAATGTCGTATGTATCGCTTTGGATAAATTTATTACAAGATATTGCGCATCAAATTGCTTTCAATCTCACGATTGACTTCTGTCTTGTATAATAACTGTAACACAAATTTGGCACGTATTAAAAATGATGCTATGATCCGCGTTCAAGTCGAATTTGTTAAACGGCGTAAGTTAAGTGGGTCTAATCAAGCTAAAAAGTCACGTACTATTTTAAGGAAAACCAAAAGAAAAATTAATAAAATAGATCATGGTTTGAGCAAGAATGTTGCAAAAAATCAAATAAATTTATTTGTCATTTCAAAGTTATTTTGTAACTATTTCATAACTGTATCATTTGCACGAACGATTAAATTCAATATATTAATTTATTTTTTCTTATCGTTTCAACTTAACGCAATCTTTATTGACCGTGATTTAATGTTGAGTCCACTAACCTGGCACACATTCAAGGGTGCCGTACGTACGTAAGACTGATCGGGCTGTGGTTTATACGTGGTACACATTGAAGAATTGCATTACTGAACTAAAATTGCAAAATTTTTTAACGATTATGAAAAACTAAAATAAAAACTTTTCAATTAAAAAATTTTATTTGATTTTTTGACAAACTTTGAACAAAAATATCTCGACAACCACAAAGCTAAATTCGATAAAAAATTTTTATTCTGCTTCGAAATTATTTAAAATCAATATAAAAAAATTCCATCAAATTTGGTTTGGTCAATAAAGTAAAATGTTTATCAAAATTTTAGTAGGATTTTTTTTTTAACTTTGACCAAATTCGATGAAAATTTTTTTATTTTAATTATGCACTATTAAAATTCATCTGTTATGTAGTAATCGACATCGTGTAATTCTATTGGCCAAAATTTCATGATACCGAAAATTTTGGTGAGTAGTTTTCCGGGACTTTCACAAGATTACTTTAATTATACCTGTCACGTGAGATAACCTTTTTCTTTAAGTTGGATAATATTTCTTCAAAAGTTATGAGCGGGCGAAAAGCTTTACAAGCACAAATAGGTAATATAAATCTTTGTTAATGTAAAAAGGCAAAATTACCTAGCAACATTCCAATAATCATGTTTATAATAATTAATTAGTGCAGCTAAAATATATAAAATATATATATGGGTTCTTTCACAGCAAATCGGGGCTTAGAGACGATTTTTTGATTTGTAAATATCAATGATTAATCAAATTTTGATTGTTGTGGTAAATATAGATATTTATATATATAATAGTTTAGTACGTATGCACATACATTATACGGATATGTGTTATTGATATAATTTTAACCTTTTTTAGTAATAGCGGTAGCGATAGCCCGATTTAAAGCTAAAATTAGAGCAGAAAATCACGTATGTAAAATTACTGCGTATAGAACTGTACCAAATTATAGTATGTCAACATCCGCTAAAATTTTTATTACGAATAACTCACACACTTGTGAATAAAAATCACAATTTCCGTTTGATCGTCTCTAAGCCCCGATTTGCTGTGAAAGAACCCATATGATTAGATATACGCATAAATAGCTTTGCGATGTATTGCTATTTAAGAGTTTTAATTTCAATCTGAATAACGATAAGCGTTAGCGCTAGGTGGATTAGAAACAACTCTAAATTAGTTCCAAGATTCCATTCCGATACACTCAATTGCCGCAGTAAGATATGAATGACTCACTATGAATACCTGAATTGTTTTTCAGTATATTGTCAAAAATATCATAAATATCGTAAAGCTCGCTTTTTGACGTTTTATTAAGAATTTAAGTATGTATAAAACTTAAACTATATTTGATTTATCGAAAGTTTATTGCAGTACTGATACTTAAAGAAAATCATTGAAATTGATTACCGTTATCGTTATGATAATTGATAATCTAAATGAATTTATTTCAACGTTTTAAACTACTTAGACAATTGACTCTTTTATTACATAAAAATATTATAAAAATGCCTTCAGATTCTAATAAAAGTTTATTTTACTCTCGTTATCAACCTTATGATCGACGAAAAAGGACTGAACGAGGAATGAACGTCACCCTTACAACTGAAGAATCAGAGTTATGCAATTTTTTAACTCTTTTAACTCAATACATGAAGGAAAACTGCCCAGAGCTTCCTTTGGTTGAATTAAGAATAGCTGGTGGTTGGGTTCGCGATAAAGTATTTAAAATTTTATTATTTCCTGCTAGCAGTTTTCTTAATAGTATAACTTACGCTTCTTTGATAAATAGCTACTTGGTTATGAATGTAACGATTTAGATATCGCGATAAATTCAATGACGGGTTGTGAATTTGGTGAACATGTTTATAATTTTTTGAGACTTAAGGGATATGCTGCTGAAAATATTCATAAAATTGAATCAAATCCTCAAAAATCAAAACATTTGGAAACCGCTACAACAAAAATTTTTGGTCGTGAAGTAGACTTTGTTAACTTGAGAAGTGAAGAATATGTAGAAGATAGTAGAATCCCTAGTAAAGTTGTAAAGTTATCACTTACAAATTAAATGAAAAAATGGTTGTCTATTATTATTTCATAATCTTAATAATTTTAATATTTTTTTATAGACTTTTGGTACTCCTGAACAAGATGCGTATCGTAGGGATCTAACAATTAATGCGTTATTCTATAATATTCACACGCGTCAAGTTGAAGACCCTACAAAAAAGGTTTTTTGAAGTTCTTTTTAAAATGGTTTATTATATTTCGTCTTAACCTATTTCTTTTCTAATAAAAGGGTATCACTGATTTAAAAGAAGGCCTTATTCGAACACCTTTAGAGCCTTATGAAACCTTTAAAGATGATCCACTTCGCGTTCTAAGATGCATAAGATTTGCAAGTAGATTTGATTTCTCAATTGACGAAACAATTTTGATCGCTGTTAAGGATGAACAAATTAAAGTCCGTCTGTTTTATAATCCTTGTAATATAATTTTATTCTTTATATTTCATGTTTAATTGTTTAATCATTTTAATTGTGTTCATAGAAAGCGATTAGTGCAAAAGTAAGTCGTGAACGTATTGGAATAGAAGTGGATAAAATGATAAAAGGTTTTTTTTCATTAAATTATAAATATATCATACTTAATTTGTCATATAAGTTGTTTAATTATTTAATCCCTAAACTCCTCCTCATAGGTCCTCATCCAGCTTTGTCAATTAAACTTATTCATGAACTGGGTATATATTATGTTATATTCGCCCCTCCGCAAGATTATCACGGAACTCTAGATGATCCAAAGACTGCTGCTTGTCTTGCAAAAATTTTGGAATGGTTATTAATATTTAAATTTATTTTTATCTCTTTAGTAGTAATTTAAATATTAACAAATCTATTATTACTCTGATTTAATAATAGGCTCTTGCTAACATCGAATGAAAATCATCTTCACGTAAACCTCTCATCTCGAACACCTGAAGATATTAGGACTCTTTATCTGGCATCATTTTTAGCACCACATAAAAATATAGAAATTTTATCAAAAAAAAAGAATTATACTAGTTTCCATCACGTTGTTAAGGAAAGTCTTAAAGTATGTATTTTTTAGAAACCCTCATTTTCAAACAAAATAATCTTGTAACGTAAATTTATTATTGATTTTTAAAATAGTTGAAGAGTTTGGATGGTGACATAACGAATAAATTGTTTTTTTTTTATTGATCAAATCACTACTGTTGCGAATCAAAATTTGATTGCTCCATTAAATAGAAAGTCCCTTGGTATTCATCTTATATGTAAATTATAGATTTACACTCATAATATTTCTTATTGAAATTTTGTTTTTATCAATATAATAGGTCTTTTAATTCGTGATATTGGAACACAATGGCAAAACGCGTTTATCCTTGCGTTGATATGCGAGTTATTACCGAAATATCCCGATGTAGAATCGGGAATTTGTAAGTTTTAAATGTGAATTTCAAACATCTATAATTTGAAATTTTAATGAAAATCTCTTTTATAGTGAAAGAACCGTACAATATTATTGATAAATATAATGAATTGGTTGATTTTATAATTGAATTGAACTTACAAAATTGTTTTAATGATAAGCCTATTATTAATGTGAGAGCTCAATCTCATAATTCTTAATAAGATTTTTATTAAGATTCTTAATAAGCAATCTTTTTTATTTGCTAATTTTTTTTCTCTCTCTTTTTTTTTAATAGGGCAAAGAAATTGCATGTCTATTAAGTATCAAACAGGGTGTAATAATAGGTGAAATTCAAAAGTCGGTAATAGAATGGCAATTGGAAAATCCTGGTGGAAGTAAAAGACAGTGTGAAGAGTATATCAAGAGTAAATATAGGAATATTAGGTTATAAGTTGTTTTGACTAAAAATTGCAAGATAACTTATGACTTAAGAGTAGGGTACTATTTATAAAATAATAGTAAAAATATTTTTGTTTTAAAATTATATTAGGTAAACTAGTTTTAAATTTTTAAATTGCAGAACAGATTTTTCTGATTCTAATGATAGTAAAATTATTAAAATTGGCTGAATATTTATTAAAAGATGTTGTAATATGTTTAAAGATAAGATATTATAAATTGTTTACAAAATTATATAATAATTATATAATATTAATCAAAATTGATTATTTTGTGTAATTAGAAAAAATTTGAATCAAAAAAAAATATTTTTTTTAAAATATACAGTAGTATTTTATTTATTATATTAAAATTTTATTATTACAGTATAAAAAAATGTTTTAGTATTATAAAATTTGGCTAAAATTAATTACAATTATAAGAAGTTATATTAGTAGTACTGTATATATTTGTTTTTTATATAAATTTTATAATTACTAAAATCATATACTGTAATTTATATATTTTTTGTTTTTTAATATTTTTATATTTATTCTTGATAAAACCAATAGATCTATCTTTGAGAAAATTAAAAGTGGTGAAAGGTTAGTGAGCCTTATTAAGTGCAAGTAGGGCATGATAGATTTTTTCCAAGTATGATATTTTTATGATCAGTTTTAAAAGCGAGTTTAAGATACTCTCTGAATCATATGTTTACCAAAAGTATTTCGACAATATATTCCTGATCAACTAATACTGTTGGGTGCAAGGAGAAGTATCTCATGTATACTGTATATATGTTATACGTTGGAATAGAATTCCAAATAACATGGATTGTAATAAAATTCTAAAATGTGCCCGAATCGTTAAAGGATTCTAATTCAACTTACAACAAAATTATAAATATTTTATTTAGTAATTTAAATTACTTTAAGATAGGATTATTATATCACAGTGCATGGCAAATTAATAAATTTAAAGCATGATATGAAACTTTTATATCTATGATTAGTGGGATAGCAACTATTCCTACAGGGTATATTTATTTTTACATTTACAGCGATTTTGTCTCATTTTTTGCAATTGCGTTAATATTACCTACAGTGCAGGCATCCTTAAACTAACAAGTCATAAATATAGTGACATTTAAGCATACAGTATGTTACACGAAATAAATTAATATACTGCATTATAGAAAAAAGGAAGAAAAAATGAAGAGAAAAAAAAGAGGAAGATTAGTTTATTTATATTTTTTTATAATAATAAATAAGTTTTTATATAATAAATTATTTAAAAGAATTTATTAATAAAATTAAAAAATTATTAGTAAAATTAAGGCGGCTAAATTTTTAATTTAATTAATAAAATTGATTAATTTTAAAAGGAAATAACTATTAAATACCAATTAATTTAAAAAACAAACTTCATAGATTTGTTCTTTAGGTTTGATTTTAATATTCTATGAAAAGATTTGGTTTATAAATATTTTAATCTTTATTTATAACCCTTTAAAAATTGTACAATATATACTGTATTATTTGCTGATTTAAGGCTGCCTGCACTGTACTCGTGGAGAGGATTGCATTATAGATGCTTTTCGAATGCTTATGAGCATTGAAAGAATACTATTTTAATCACGTATTGCAAATATATTTTTTTGCTAAATAACGATTTTTTTACATCCACAATTGTTGTATTTGCTGAATCTTATAAAACCTTAATACAAATCAAATGTCTTCACGTAAGGTTTTATGTTGCCTATTTGCCCTACTCATTACTAAAATATTTGGAAAGCAATTCTTTGAATACATTACGGGATAAAAATGGATAATCTTAATATTCGGTCATTCAGGTAGATAATTGCAAAGAATGAAAAAGTGAAATAAAGAAAAGAAAAATTTATCGATTGTATAGTATCAAATATAGAATCGACTTTAAATTTCGTATCAACTTAGACTACATTTAGAATTCCGTTCCAACCTAAGTGAACTCTAAATCTACAATAATTCGCATTGAATATTGATAGAATTATAATAAATAAAAAAACCTAAATCATGAATGATAATTCTCTTAACACGTGATATGATTGATATGATTAGATTTACGTACAGTACGCAGTACGCGTTCATTGTTAAAATTGTATATAAGGATCATTTTTCACTTTCTTACTCATTTTATCTTTGTTCTTTTCGAGCGCTTCACGTTTCATCAACATGAATCTTAAAGCATAACTGATGTTTGATAAAATTCAGTTCACTTGAGTTTTTGCGAGTTCTTTGTCGAAACTTTTCCCTAGTCGTAGGATACACCTCTACGTGGTGGCTAGGACAAGTAGGCTATTTTTTAGTATCCTTATGACAGTAAAGAAAAGTATATATCGTTATTACAGTAAGCAATGCATTAATATTGTAAAAAGCAATACTGTATAGTAGGTAGGAAAGTAGTATAGCAAAAAATAGAAAACCATGAATTTCTCAAGCGGCTTCGATATAAAAAACATAATAACTGATAAGCCACCATTGGTTTTTAATTCGAATGGGTTTAATTCAAAGATTTATTAAATTTGCAGGTGACTTTTATCTGTCAAACCTTTCAATATTCAAGCATTGTTTAATGTTAATGTACTTAAGGTGTGTAATAATGGAACATAAGCAGGATCGTTTATGATTTTTACTAATTGCAAATTTCTTTAATGGTAACGAAAATGATCTTAATAGTTCAAATGTAGACAAGTATAAGAATGAAATTTTAACTTGGTATACTGGTTTAAATCCCGATTCGTTAAGTGGTAATTCAAGAAAGCCAGAAATTCCTCCAGGTTGTAGGCATGAAGATAAAATACAATGTGAAATATATCAAACTATTTTGAACCAATGTAACGGGAAGCGACAATTAGACCAGGACGATTTCATGAAAATAACGTGAAGCGACAATTGGACGATTAGGCTCTAACAAGGGGAATAAAACTCCCAAAACGACGAAATCAAAAACAGTTATAAAATCGATATCTAATAAGTAAAAAATCGATTCATCATATATTATATTTGATTTAGTATATTTAATTTAAAATTCTCCTTTTTAGGGAGAGTTACAATTTGAATTGAATAATTCTAATGAGTATAATGAGAATCAACAATTTGACTTGAACGATCTGGTTAAATTCATGTAATACCGACAAAATATCTGAACAACACTATAGATCTGAGACAATTTATGCTTTCATATCCAGATCAATAAGGCATATTAATGATAACCTTTCTATATATTTGTAAGCATGAATATATTTCAATTAGTTGCTATTTTTAGGTTTATTTTTTGTTTAATTGATAATAGCGGTGAAATAACATCCGTTGGATCAGTTTTAAAAATCATTATTAAAAAAAAAAAAAGTTCACTATCTCTGTCAATAACACCGTATATTACGTACGGTTTACATTTTATAGCGTTAAAAATTTTAATACTAAATATTATATCACTTTTCATTTATCTAAATTCATGTTTGAGTACATACATCGTTTATGCACTATAACGATGTAAAGTATATTTTATCAATTTCATATTATAATTATAGAAGAATTGGTTTTTATTTTATCATCCACCCGGGTGACCCGCGGGTTACCCGGGTCATGATTTTCAGACGGGTCCAACCACTATTTAGGGCTAATTACCCACCAAGAACCTGGCCTACGGATACGGCGACCAGATGATGTTATTGTAACGGCATCTGATTTCGTCGTTGTTTCATCTTTTCGATCTAACTGTCGCTTTCCATTATTCTTATTAAAATCATTCTGGCGCTTTCCATTATTCTTATTAAAATCATTCTGACGCTTTCCATTATTCTTATTCTCATTTGAATCGTCCAAACTCAATTGCAACTCCTCATTATTTTCATTAGAATTGTTCAAGTCAAGTTGTAGCTCACTCTCATTGGAATCGTCTACGTCCAATTGTCGTTTCCTGTTATTCTCATTAGAATCGTTAAAGTTCAATTGTAACTTATCGTTATTCTCATTATTTTCATTATTCTCATTAGAATTATTCAAGTCAAATTGTAGCTCTTCGTTATTCTCATTAGAATCGTTCAGATCCAATTTTCGCTCCTCATCATTCTTATTATTCTCATTAGAATCGTTAAAGCTCAATTGTAAATTATCATTGTTCTCATTAGGGTTATTCAAATCAAATTGAAGCTCCCCGTCATTCTCATTAGAATCGTTCAGATCCAATTGTTGCTCTCCATCATTCTCATTCTCATTAGAATCGTTCAGATCCAATTGTTGCTCTCCATCATTCTCATTCTCACTATCACTCTCATTATCTAATTGAATATCAATATTAGAATTATCAATGAACACCTGTACAATAGGATAATTATCATCAGAATTGTGATCCTCTTTACTCAAATTTGAATAACACTCTGATTTATCTGTGCTAGCCTGTTCATCATCTTCATCAGATGTAAGATCATACCCTCCTTCACTTAATGGTATAATCAAGTCCGAAAAACATGCACTTTTAAATTCATTAAGTAAAATTTCTTTCCAATCTTCGGGAAATCCTCTATGAAAATTATCACATAATTCTTGTGAAAAACCATTAGTTATCATATCATTAATTGAAATATCTCCCTCAAGTTTATAAAACTTATTGTTATCAGCCTTTACTAAATTTTGGTCTATTCGATCAATAACGAGCGTTGAATGCCATCGACAATTTTGTCCTCCCGATTTTTTGATGGTACCAGAAAGTATTATCCATACTTCTGTTCCAGGTGGAACTAAATTTTTATTGTCCGTAAGAGTAACACATTTTAAGTACCAATTTGATAAAGAATAACTTTTATTTTTTTTATTTTCATAATTCTCTGTTTGATAAGATTTAGTATAATTCTCTGTTAGAGGAGATTTAGTATAATTCTCTGTTAGAGGAGATTTAGTATAATTCTCTGTTTGAAAAGATTTAGTAGTCCCCATAGAAAAGGGACTACAATTTTCAGGTTGCAAACCATAAAATTCAAGGGGAGAACCATCAGGTCTCCTTGGAAGTGGACGTGTAAAAAAAAAAGGACTATATTCCATATTTGGCGATGATAATATATTTGAATTATAATGCATTAGGTCTTGAGTTGAAATACCAGAAAAAGGAGGAAACCGATTTGCCACTTCTCGTTGAACTTGAGAAGGAAACGCGCCGAATGTAGGTGTAGAAAAGGCTGAGCCAGCGACTACACCACCAGTATGAAGTGGAAATGGCGTTCTGTTGTAGTTTGAATTTAAGACGTGACAGGGCATGGGCGATCGAAAAGCTCTTTCATTCTCGTCACTATCAAAGATCGCGTCGAAGAGTTGCTTCTGTTCTTCAACCATTATAATATAGGTCTGACTCGATCAAAATAATGGAAATTCGGATATTCATTCGATCAAATTTTTTTATGCATATCCGAAAATCCGTTGAAAAATTCGAATACACACACACATTTATTGATAGGCTTTTTTATTTTCAACTTGGGCGGCATCCAACCAGTATTATTTTTGTATTATCTTTTAAGATCTCTATAACAATACTGGTTTAACGTAAATTATTTGCACACTCACAACTATGTAATTTTTTTTCTAACTATAATAGGACTTAAATTGTCTCTTCTAGTGTTCTAGTGTGATAGTGTATGTTCATTCAAAATTCTGATCATTTCATGATAAGTATAAAATACGTTTTTATTATAATTAACAAAAATTATGTATAAATTACAAAAATCTGGGCTGAAAAAAAATCCGTTATATGGCTTAATCCGTTATAACCATTATTTTATATATTAAGGGTGTCCTATTATAATTATATAATAAAATTATTATATGCTGCAACCCATTTGGATCGCCTTTATTTTCATGTTAATAGTGATATTAATAAGTGATCATATTTTAAAGTTGATATTTAAAGTATGAGGGAATTTTAATATACTTTTAATATATAGAAATTCATTTTATACTGTAGTTTAGGTTGGGTCCGTTGGGTAATATGAAAACGGATGACCGGATCCAAACCTTAAACGAGGATCAACCGTATCGTATATGTCATAATTAATTACACATAAAAATTTGGGACTAATTATTAATTATACCGGTATAATAATAAGGTATATAGTATAATACCAGGTATAATACGTATTTTTTTGATCAGAGAATGCCACATTTTCTGAATAATCAAAAAATGTTTTTTAAAAAAATCCTTTAGTATAGTGCAATATAATATAGGTATGAATGACGTATGCATCGTGCAATATAACAAGCGTGGATTACGAAATACAAAAATGATTTATAACATAAATAATGCAATACTCATGATCAATAGTGGCCGTGCGTATTGTTACTATGTTCAGAATCTTTCGGAAATTTCGAGTTATTTATATCGGAAACCTTCGGAAAATTTTGTAATCTCGGCTTCGCAATTTACTTCTTTAACTATTGGTATTGTACATATTGTGTATAATACCAATGGTATATAAAACCCTAATTATAAGAGATCGTATGAGGGATCGTAAGAGATGCTTGAATTTTATATTATAGGAAAGATTACTGTATTAATAAATGTGTGCTTGCGACAAGTAAACTTTAAATTTTATTCCACTTCTTATCGTTATTTTGGATCTTGCGATTTGATTGGCTGGTTATAATGTGATACATGAACAATCGTGTAACATCTAACGCAGTCCAAAAACATGTCATATCTAATTTTCGATTGAATAGAGTTACAAATTTAGTTTAATTTTCTTTGATTAGTCTAACGAATTCTTAGGGTGATTGTTTTGATTTAATGAGGATCTATTCTGCAAGGTTCTGCAAGAAGGATTTAATGAATAAGCATAAAGCCCATTAAACCTTTCGCCCCAGTCTTTCAGGCAATTGTATTGTCAAATAACCTGTCCCACTACGTGTATCAAAAATTTTGGGTGGATGCATATATTCAAATTGTCCAATTGCCAGCACTGATTTAACGGTTGTTGGTTAATTTTATAATAAATATATACGCGGCTTTATCGTATCTCTATTAAAGGAAATGTTGTGGCTTAATGGTATTGGTGGCTGTGAAAGGGCTGTGTAATCAAAATTTCGAATCGATCTCCGGGTTTCAAAGTTTTTGTTTTCCTGAAAGAATATAGTTATTTGAAAAAAATAAATGGCGAAATGAAAACTTCATTTAAAATTACAAAAGTATTGGCAGAAAAAGTTTTAGTCTATAATCAAATCTAAGCCAAAAATAAATAAATAGGTAAATAAATAAATAAAATAAATGCAGTAAATAAATATGTAAATAAATGATAAACAAAAAATTGTAAAGGAATTATTATGATTATGATCTTTTAATAAAAAAATTTTTTTATGTATTATTAAAGTCAATTAAGCAGCTTTGGAGATAGGTTTACCTTTACCTTTACCTTTCAAAGCATTTTTAGAATAATAAGTTTTGTTATAAAATCCAATAAATAATATTAAATAACTACTCAAAAGCAAACATCCAAAAATAGCTGCGCTTTCATCACCAGCACAAGTACCAACATTTGGCATCCAAGGCCAATATGTGGAAGCAAAGTAAGTATAAGAACAAAAGTATACGAAGAAAAGATCAATTATAAATTGAATAATTTGTAATGTTGTAAGATATTGCTTCCACCAAATCTTTGCACCTCCAGCAGCACGAAAATAATAGTAATACATAAACACGTGCACCGTCAAATTTAAAGTAATCGGAACCCATGACTAGCAAGCATTTAAGGATACAAAAGTTAGTTAATTCATTTTATGATAGAATATTAGATGTTATCACATATTGAAATTACCACTGTGGTTCGACCGTTTAATTGAGAATAACATAAAGCCATTGTCATGCTATGATGAAAAACGTGTAAAAATTCTAAAGTAAAAAGATAAATTAATGAATTCTGGATAAAATAAAGAAAATTACATAATTTTATTATTATTATTATTTTAACAAACCAAGATTTTTTTTCCTTAGTACCAAGAAAATAGTATCTGCAAGTTCCCAGTACTTGACAAGATAATTCAAATAATATAATAATTCTAATCGTTGAGTCCATCCATTTTTGCTACATACAGAATAAAAAATACCATTACGCCAATAGATTGGTAATATTTGTTCGATGAATAGTAATAATAAACTGAGCGATGATATGGTTAACAAAAAGTTATGAATTTGAAAAATTAAATTGAGCTTTATAACTGGAATATTTGTTAAAAGTAGTCGACCTCCAAATATCAGGGAAAAATAAGTAACACAACTAATGATAACTTCAGTTAGTGTTGAAAGAGGTGTAACACCTGGAACGAAGGCGAAATCATTTGGATTTTTTCCTGTGAGCAAGCTATACGTTTTTACAAAATAATCATCAAGATAGATTCCAAATGGGCGGTCTATTGATACTATGCTGGCCATTGATTGATATTATAAAGAATAATATAAAGAATCAATTAATAGAACGGATCGTATTTCGTTAAAAAAAAATATAACCTTTAAATTAAAACTAATTATTTGATCTAGTGTTCTGTCTATATTAAAATGAGAGAAAAATTAATATTTTGATCCGATAAGAAGAACAAGCTAGACAGGCTATATCCTTTTATATCACGAAATTGTTACACACAGTTAAGGAAAAAAATTTTTAAAAAATGTTGGGGACTTGGGGCAAAGGTACGACAGATATGGGCGTGGTATCTGCAAATCAAGTGATAATTTCGAAATGCATTATTAGCGTTAGACAAAGAAAAAAAAACAAATTAATAAAGTTTCGATTTACGCAATATTTTTATATATGCGTTCGAGAGTGAAGCGACAATTCTCGGAAAGTTTTTTCTATTAATCAATCTTACCTCTTGTGGTTAAGATATTCTTAATCGTAGATACAGTATATGCTATAGCATTATATATTTCCACGTGTCTGGACGAATTCCAGGTTTGCAAATCACCATTATTCGCAATATGCATATTTGCACGTGCATTTAATTTAATGAATTAAATAATAGAATATTACGTTACATAACATATATTGCATAAAGTATAATAAAATGGTATAAATATTTTATGCATGAAAATTTAGAGTAAGACAATATGCTAATTACTGGGAAGACCAGATTGTGTTATACGTAGAAATTGGTAAGACGCGTATACTATAAGAACACGTAAATGTATATGCAGTAGATAAACGTGTGGAATGTGGATCTTAATTACTTTAGGACTTATTCAAAATGAGCTGATTTCTAAATTAGTTAATTGATGTCAATACGTAACATATTTTTACATAAAGATCTGTACACTCTAAATTTCCTTATCTTGTGACAGTGCCTAACCAACTTTTAAAAAAAATTTTTTTCCTTTATAAATAGTGAACCTGCCAAAAAGAATAATCATAACGCAGGAAGTGACTCATTTCGCTCTTTTTCACAATACTTTGCGATTAAAAATGCTACGTCCAAACTTTGCTCATAATTAAGTCTAGGATCACAATAGGTCCTATAATTTTGTTCAAGATCTACGTCTGATAGCTCCATTGATCCTCCGATACATTCTAAATAAAGATAATAACCGAAATTAATAAACGACATTAATTATTTATGACGCATACAATGGCATGCATCATATAATAAATATTTGTACTATTGTAAAATTCATTAAATAATAGTCTTTAAAAAGTATTTTGGGAATCAACCAGGGCGGTTCCCCCGAAGTTCGGGTTGATGATCATCAGTTACTGCGGCATATAATTAATTTCGACGGCGACATGAAAAAGCTCTTCGATTTTTTGGATCTTCGAACCTTTAAAGTATGCTAAAAACGAGAAAAGAGATCTTCTGACAATGGTGAGATACCATATGCAAAAAATGTTCTAATCGAAAAATAAATTTCAAAATATTTTTAAGTAGTACTATAAAAATTTTTGAAATTTATTTTTTAACGAATTTTACAATAGTACAAAAAATAAACAATTAAAAATTTTCTTATTAATAAGTCATTGTAGAAAAGTTATTTCTTAAAGTAGCTTTGGTATGACTTAATCAATAAAAATTCAAACTTCCTATAAAATATAGTTATCACGCCATTATACATCATTACTTCAAAGCACTAACCAGTTACGCCTTCGCCCGTAAGCTCAAAGTGCACACCATTCAATTGGCTTTCATTATTTTTATGAGTATGTATCACTTTAGAAAGTTCCTTAGTAATAAAATAAAATGTTATTTTAACATAAAATCCTTTTGCAAAATACAGCGCCATTTAAATATATATATATATATTTTGCGTTTAATGAATTTACCTCAATTATTGAATTAAAATGTCGAGTTTTTACGCCTGAACTTGTTGTTTTGGTGCTAATAATGATTATATCGTGATGTCAAAGTAATAAACGAAACAATTAAATTACACCAATAAATATGAATATTATCAAGAAATACTTACTTTCCGTGCATCGGATCGCACGTCCAAACAACAACGTGACCTGATTCCTTAACAGCCTTAATGTGACCTGGCAGGAATTTTTCCACCTATTATATAACAAAGCGTCAATTACACTTATATGATTGGCAAATAGATAAAATGAAAGACTCCGCCAAGATTGCCATGTGAATAGAGAGCACGCGACAACAGCTCATGTGAAAATGCAAGGTGGATGGCAATGCCGCATTCCTCGAGACGATCTACCGATACAGCATCCGCATGATTTATCTCTCTTATCGGCACAGCAAAAGTTGACATGATCGTCATCATTTTATTTATAAATTGAGTAGATCGGAAAAATATAAATCATGTGGATGCTGGTAGACCGTCTTCATTCACCACAAGCTGCAGTGACGCCAATTTCCATGACCGATCAAAGTGAGGTAAATAAAATATATAATTACATTATCGCATCCGAAACGCGTAATCAATGTAACTTTCCCAATCTCTTTATCAGGATTTACTATATTCAATAATTTTTTAAGTTCATCTGGTTGCATGCTAGGCCCAACTTTAATTCCAATAGGATTACGAATTCCACGAAAATACTCAATGTGTGCTTCATCAATACTCCTAGTCCTATCACCCACCCATAAGAAATGAGCTCCAACATTGTACCACTTTAGACTTTGGGTTTCTGGATCTTTCAACAAACGTGTCAAACATTGTTCATAATCAAGTATTAATCCTTCATGTGACATGAATAAATCGACACTATTTAACGAATTGGTTAAAGGAGAGAATGGCACGTCCGCTCCAATTGTCTTCATGAAATTTAATGTGTCGGTAAGACGATCAACTATTGTTTGGTATTCTTGACGCGTTCCTTTAGAACGAACGTGATGAAGTGACCATTCGTCCGGATTATGTAAATCTATAAACTCGCATTCAGAAATAATTCATTTATGTAAATAAAACATTATTAATATATAAAAATTACGATTACCTGCAAATCCTGACCCAATAATTGATCTAACATAATTAAGTGTTGCTGCAGAATGGAAATAAGCTCTAAAAGCCCGCTATATTAATTTCAAAACATGTAAACACGTACATTATTAAAATTATTAAAAATTACCCTAAAAGACGATCTGGATCGGGTTTTCTATCAGTAGGTTCATATCCATTAATAATTTCACCACGGAAAGCGTGAATTTCTTTTCCTTCATACATTTCCATTTCATTTGATCGAGGTTTTGCATATTGTCCACACATCCTGGCGATTCGAACTACTGGAATTCTAGAACCCCATATAATTACCAAACTCATTTGAAGAAATACTTTGAGTTTTGATTCGATAGGTTCCTATCAAAATTAATATATGATAAGTCTAAATAATCACATATATATAGTTAACACTTACTAAACGAACCTACCGTATTTTCGCGGAATAATGCCCATGAGCGTTATTTCGAATTTTGGCCCAAAATTCGAAATTACACCCTTGCACGTTATTCCACGAAAATACAGTATGATGTTTACACCCTAAGGATATTCAAAGTCGATTAGTTGTTTAATGTCAACATTCGGAATTCAAGCATGTCGAGGGGAAGGATTTAAGCAAACACATATACAGCCACTGAATATCAACATTAACCACATGATCATTGAAACTATCCCGCGCTGTGACTGGCTTGCTAATTCCGGGGACAGCTGACCGAAAAGAATGACGTTAAACAACTTTTCAACTTTAAACAACCCTATGTATACATTATTCTAAAGACTAGCAAATGAACTGGTATATAGTGCTTTTAAATCTGTCTTCAAAACCCTAACCCTAATATGAAAAAAAAAAACTATATAATAGGTGCAAATAGGGGTTGGAACCGTTTAATGTTTCATAATTTCGAGCTGTGTTATGCTGGTCACGAGCCAATTATCTTAATGCCGGCTGAACTAAACGATTAACACGGTTAAACGTGTAGAATTTTTAGGCGGTTCCAATCCCTAAATGCAAAAACATCATAGGTGCGTTTCAGAACAATGTGTGATCTAAATATTCTTTTAAATCTAGAACCCCTGAAACTTTTAATTGTTCCACCAAATTAATTAGGTTTAGCTTGCATTATAGTTGAATGGAAATAAGGAATTACCTGTGAACAATAGTCAAAAAGTTCAGCGCAGTCACCACCTTGCAATAGAAAAGCCTTATTAAGCGCGACTTGTTCGAGTTGATGACGAAGCTTGTTAATCTTTAAGGATCACACAATTCGTAATATATTTTCGAAATTAGCAATTACGAACCATTTCTTGACCATAATGTATTAATTTACCTCTGCTGGTGTTACCAAAGGAGGCACATTGTTTAATTTTTCAGTAACCCTCTGTAAATGTTCTTGATCTTCGTAAGAAACATTTTGTTTGATTTTTTTTGCTCTCCAAGTAGAAGGTGTCCACGCGTCACCAGAAGTATGGTAGTTAGAATTTTCGTTGGTTACTTGTTCGTTATCAACGCCCATATTATTTTAACTGGTCGTTTTAAAAAATTTGAATAAAGTGCAGAGGTATGCATTTATATAGGTATCGTATGTGTAACAATAAAATTTATAAAATATATCCCGATCATCTAATCGGACACGTCTTTTTTTGTCAAAAAATACATTTAGTTCAAAGAAACCATTTTCAGACGTTACGACTCATGTACGACACTATAAAAAACAATAACAGATAAACAATGAATAATTCGTTCAATAATGGAAGAAAATTATCTACTGTCTGTAGTGTAATAAACCTTTTTCTAGAGATTTGAACGCGTGATATCTAAAACTTTACACTGGTTAGTTTGGTTTTAATTAGTAAGAGACCATAGGAAATTTGCATATAGATAATTTTTTTTTTATCCGGCAGCTTACTATGTCTTAAACTACTACTGTACTTTACTGCTTTAAATTCCCACTCGATCTTGATTTTCATTGGCTGATTCTGTCTTATCAATCACGTGTTCTGGAAATCGATCAATTTCTACACTTTTTTTTTTAAAAAAAAAAATTTATCTTTGTTCTAATGCCGTAATTCTAATGGCTAACGACCACAATACAAAAATATGTTTACATTTTCTCGACCTTTCTTAGAGCTTCGTCTTTTATTAAAGTTTCGGAGGCTACACCTTTCTCCAGAGGTTTCGCCTTTCACCAAGGATTTCTCTTTTCGTCAAAGTTTTCACTTTTCTTCAGGAGTTTCGCCTTTAACCAGAGGTTTCGTGTTTCGTCTTTCACCGGGTTATTTAAGTTTAGTCTTTCGCCATTTAAATAAAATGATTTCAACTAATAATCATAGTTCTGAAACTATTAATGAAAAAGTTTTACAATCCGAAAAAAGTTCTGAGCTCATAACTAAAAATGATCAAACATTCATCAAAGATTATTTAATAGCCTGCAATTATCAAGAGATTTTTAGAATATATCAAGATTTAATAGGGCAAAAAATAAATATTCATCCAATAATAATTATATATGTATTTGCTGCATATATTAAAGTTAATAATTTAGAAGGTGCAAAAACATTGTTAAATAATTCACGTTTAGGTGATTTTCATGTTAACATATCCTTAAAAATTTTAAACCATTACCTTAAAAAGCCAGAAGAAATGGAATCTGCACGTACAATATTACAAAAATATTTCGTAGAACGCGTTAATCCAAATTCACCACAATTCAGTGCTCACGTGTCCAAATTATTTAAAGCAGGAAAAATTCAACAAGCTTACTTGCTTTATAATAACATCATCTGTGGAGGAGTAATACCAAATGAACACACTTATAATGTATTCCTGTCTGGTTTCTTAGCGCATGATAAATATGCATACTCTGTTCAAGTATGGGACGACATGAAGAAAAAAGGTCATAAACCAACATCGATAATCTACAGCACCATGATTAATGGTTTTGCTCGAAAGAAAAAGTATCATGATGCAGAAGTTATATGGGAACAAATGAAACGAGAAAATATAAAACCTGATTCAATCGCTTATTGTGCAATGATAGATGTATATTTTCGGGCAAAAGATTGTCAAAAAGCTCTAAGGATATTTGAACAAATGCGACAAGGTAATATTCCAATGACAGAAATAGTTTTCAATAGAATAATTAATGGTTTATTATGGAATAATAGAGTTGACGAAGCAGTATCTGTATATCGGCAAATGCACACAATGAACGTACGACCATGTATATCGACATTTAATATTCTTATTAGAGGTTTATTATATTATAAAAAATATGAAACGTTAATTGCAGATATTTTAAACGACATGAGAATGCAAAAGATTGCACCTGATGTCGTAACACTGACAACTCTCATTGAACGCTATTTTGCGAAGGGAGATTTGGAAAGTGTTGGTAGAGTCATTAATAGCTTTGCTACTTATGGAATTAAACCTAATGTAGCCACTTATGGCGCTTTGATTAGTGGTCTAATGCTCATGGGTGACTATGCAGCAGCAAAATTAGCATATGAAGAAATGCTATCGGCGAACATTCGACCAAATATACAAATTTACGGTTGCATGTTAAATGTATTTTTCAAGCTAAACGATTTACAAAATGTTGACCAAATACATCAAAATGTTAAAATATATGAAATCAGGCCGACAATCGGATTTTATAATATTCTAATTGGGGGTTATATAAGAGCCGGTAATTTTTTACAAGCAAAAAGTTGCTACCACAAAATGAAACATTTAAATGTTTATCCGAACCAAAGTACTTATAAAACCTTATTAATGGGATATATTAATAATAATGATTTAAATAGTGCTACTAAAATATTACAAGATATGTGGGATGTAAATTTCGAACCTACAGATTTAGATTTAAAACGCTTATGTAAGATGGTTGAGAAGAAATGGCAGAATAATCGCAGAATTAACGATTACTTTGAAATGAAGTCTAAATAAAAAAAAAAAAAAAAAAGAGGTATTGTTAATGCCTACCTTTTTATACTTATTTTTCGCTTTTTAATATGTCATGGATTTCAGTACGATGGTTGTATCACCCTTGTATTACTAAGTGAACTTCTCGCTCAGGCAACAGCCATAGCAGTTAAGATCAAGTACCTGGATAAACTCCCCATAATCATTTATTAATTGGATAGCTTGCATTAGGCGGATAACCTCATCTACCGAACAGCCTAAAATATATAGTTGATTGGATTATATATAAGCCTATTAACTTCATTTGTGTCCCTTACCAATTTCATTAATATTAATTACACAGTCAGTTCCGACGTAGTTAATAAATAAATAATACAGTACATATAAAAGTTTAATGATGCAACTTTTATTACCTTGTCATCGATTATAACAGTTTCTCTGCAAATAATAAAGTATAAAAATTAAACAAAATCAAAATAGAAAGAAACGATGTACCTAAAAGGAATGCCCTTTTTTTTATACAAAACACTATAATCTTCACTTATTTTCTTTGAATAGTCAGCAACTAATATTTTCATTATGTAAGTTAAAAACTATCAATATCAAACGTGATATAGGAATCCTTTTTAATATTCAAAGAAATAATTATAAGTAAAATTATGTATAACATACTTGATACCGCTAATACCACTCTGACCTTATAGCATTTTGCCAGAATGAATTTTTTAAAAGTTTATTATATGCAAGTTAATAAATAACACGTGTTAAAATAATAAAATCCTCGCGCATGTATGACCAACCAGGTTGCTCGCTTAGATGTACGCGTGTAACAGCCAATAAAATAGCCAATAAAATAGCCAATAAAATTGTACAATCAGTCAGGTATTATTATAAAAGACCGCGAGTTTTCAATTTTTATAAATAAAATACTATTTATGAATTAACATTGGCATGCATAGGAGGGAATTCCTTCGGAAATGTGGGCACGCTGCGATATAGATATGTACGTGACCTAGGGCGTACGTTTTTGTAGTTTTAATAATTAGCTTTATATTATTTTGTTATACTCCATTTTATTTGAGGTTTGATTGAATAATTAGCGTTTCTAGTATGATTTTACCCAAGAAGTGTGTTTTTGATGGTTAACTTCTAAATTAGATTAGAATTCGTATTTAATTACATACTAGTGTATCTTATGGGCTACCTTTAGTACCGACGTCCCCGTCGTGTGGCCTGGGCACTATATAATTTATCTAATAGTGGCTAACGGGTACTATTTATTCTATACATACATATAAGTTTATTACAGTGAATCCTCCTAAGTGCGCACTCTCGGACCAAACTTTAATACTGTAATTTGCACTTAGAGAACAATAGAAAAAGTACATTTATGGAGGTCATGTATATATTTGGGCCAGAATCTGAGTGTGCATTTAGAGAGGGTGTGTACTTAGAGAGGTCTCTGTAATGCTTCAGACTTGCGCTTCGTTTTCTTTGTCTCAATCAATAATTACAATAAACATTATATTGAACGAAAGCCTATTATACATTATGTGCTTGATATCGATAGTAAGATTTATAGAACTTAAATAAATATATGAGTTATAAGAACGGTTGATCTTAATTTATTAGAAAAATCTAATTCAAAGTGAATTTTATCTAAGCTGCATATCTATCAATAAATATAAATCAACACTTTCTAAATGTAAGTCCTACTAAATACATCTTCTTAATAAGTACATATTTTTATCGCTATAGTGCACTTAAATAGAATTGGATTAAATAATACAATAAATTCAAACTTACAGTAAATGTATCTACAAAAACAAATAAACATTCAAGGGTCTTCTTCAGGAAAATGTCGTTTCCTGGAGCCGGATTTTAAAAATCCCTGACTTAGTTCTAGGCCTAACTTTTTCGCTAGCTTCCGAAAAGCATTTTGGATTGCTTCAACCTTTTTTTACAAAAGTTGATATATTAATGCATTCTTGATAACAACTGAACAAAAAATACGTCTAATGATATTACCTTGTCTGAATTACGTGCAAATATACGAACTATGTATTCTTCGTACTGTACAGGGAAAAGATCGCTAACGTTCGAACGATAAATAGGAAATGTCACTTCGCCATCATTATAAAATCTGACAGCGTCCACTGGATTTTCATCTTTTTTTGCATAATTAAGCGTTTGCCAATCAACAATTACGTCATCTTCATGTAAAGGTAAACTGTCATTTTGATGGCTAATAATTTCGCGCTCATTGATCATCTAACAAAATCAAAATTATGTAAAAAGGTTTTGTGAAGATGTCTTTTGAATAAAATAAATATATACTATACTTTCATCATATGGCCTTTCTTGTCTTTCTGGACCAAACACTCATCTACAAACTTGTATAATTTCCTCCGTCTAATCCGTTTGACGATCTCTCTTGATTTGGTCAACTCCTAAATATAATCATTTATTAGAATATCGAATTTATTAGAATATCGTTAGGAGAATATTAATTAATTACCATTAATATTATACAAAATGCATCTACCAAATACCTCGCATACTGAATATTCGATTCTATTCAAAATAGAATCACTCAATTGGATATATTCTTCAGCACTTTCGATTGCATCTGCAATTTTGAAATATGAATTTGCTTCCACAAGCGCATCTCTTATCATGTAATCAATTGCACCGCCTAACAATTAATGCCGGTCAATCGTTAGTCAATTATAAACCATAAAGACACTCTGAGCAAAATTTCCGTGACAACATACCAACGCGATGGCTATACACTTTTTTATGTAAAGAATATCTAGTGTGGAACATTTCATAAATGTTAAAGCATTCCTTATGATAGTAGGCAATCTGATCATCCATGACGCGAGAAAACTGCATCAATCGTGAAAAATCGAATAATGATTTCAGCCCTAAATGGTAACAATCTCGTGCGAGGTAATCATATTTGTCAACATCCACAGAGTTACGTTCATTGGAGACAATATCAAACAGGTAAGGGGATCTTTTACTTTATGTAAAACAATTTATTATTAATAAGATAACGGTGGGTTAAATAGTTCATTAAAGAAAATAACTCACTTTCCTTTTGAATCACCTCTAATAAGTGCCTTGATGAATTTCTCATCATCCGTGCCTAAATCGACGGAACATGATTCCAGTTCTTTAAAAAGATGCTCAACCATCATTTCGGATCCTTTTTCATGTTTCCATCCAGATGATGGCCTGCAATTATAAAAAAAAAAATCTTATGAAATGATATACATTTATGTATTGAATATTGTTAACCAGTGTTGAGAATTGGAATATTCATCCAATTGGAATTGGAACATTTGGAACTAATCCAAAATATTTGGACCAAGGAATCAGGATCCATTAAAAATTAGCCAATTATATTTTTAAAATTCTATTGGATGGATATAAGATGAAAATACATTAACATCTGTTATATGGGTATTATAAATTACCAATCCATGAATGACTTCTACTACAATCGTACTATACAGCATATGTTTTATTATAAATAAAATATTCTCTTAATTCAGGTTTGATTGGTTGTACTGTATATTAGAATTGGATTATGTTCCAATAAATAAGTAATATTGTCCAATGCCAATGGTTCCAATATCATATTGGATTTTTTTGAATTAGTTCAAATTCCAATAGTCCAATAATCCAATAAAATTTTACCAATGCCAACACTGTTGTTAACTTAACCTACTTTAGGTATGGAATAACGACGCGATCAAACACGTGACTATATGGTCCATGTCCTGTATAAATATATATATATAATAAGTATATATATATATATATATAAATTAACAATTATTCAGACATGTGATAAACGAATTAACGTACTTACGTACGTACGTACATACCTAGATCATGACACAAAGCAGCCAAAGTCACACATTCGAGATCATGGTCTGATTTTTCAATACCCTGTTGCTCTTGTAGTCTCTTGGTTAATGTATAAGCAAGGTGTGCTGTTCCTATAATAATTTGTACGTAGGTGCTATTATTACATCCCCTCATTTCTGTAGTACAACGTACTTACATACCTAAGCTATGTTCAAAACGACTATGTGCCGCACTGGGAAAAACATAATAAGTTGATCCTAATTGTTTAATATCTCGCAATCTTTGGAAATGCGGCGTATCTATAAATTCTACTGCCCACTTTTCAAATGGCATATACCCCTGTTTAAAAAATACATGTTAAATAAAACTTAAATTTCTTTAATTAGATTTATTAGGTAAAAAATTTACATGGATAGGGTCATTAATAAGCTTATTCTTTTGTGACATCCGAAATAATACTTAAAAATGACGTTTGATGGGCTTCTTACACCAAAATTTACAAAACTGGCAGATTTGATTTAAAAAAATCGCAGAACTGTATTATAGGAAAGCTTTGTCCGATTGGCTGATGTAAATCTATCGCACGTGTAATTTTGAAAAATGTAACGTTTCACTAATAATAAATTAATCAATACACGTGATTAATATGTTGGCTATATAAAGTGCAATGTATCGTCCATATATAATATATTATGCTAAGTTTAATGGCTATCCGTTTGCTGTACTAAATTTAGTACAAAATACTGAATTTAGTACAGTCATAAAATTTAAATTTTGAAAAATTTTTCTTA